CAACAGGGCGCAGAGGAGGCGACGAGGGGAAGGACTCGCGGCGGAGAGGATGGGGCCACACGCGGGGTGGCCCTCTTGGGGATCGCCGACGGCGGCGGGTGGCGATGGGGACGCAGGGGAGAAGGAAGGGCGAGGCCTTGGGCGGAGGCGGAGGCGCGAGGACCTCCTGTTTCATGTCGGCAGAGGGGATCGAGATGAGGGGAGCTTGATGCGTGCGGCGCTGGAGGGAGATGGGGATCGAGCAGGAGGCTCTCCCCTGCGCTAGGGTTAGAGGGGGCGCGGCTGGGCCTTGGGCCGGCTTAGGTAGTGGGCTGCGGCTGGCCTGTCTCCTCTCTCTCTCTAATCCCCCACTTCTCTTTTATTTACCAAAAGCGGTAAATAGCAAAGAAATAAAAGGGAGATAAAGAGAGGGTTGGAGAAATAATTTGAGCATGGGGATAATTTTCCCGGACTCGCAAAAATGAGTTTGATCCAAGAAAATAGGAATGGCCAAGATTGCAAGATTTAAATTCAAACTCATTTGAATTTAAAATCAAATGATTTGAATGGAAGTGAGGGTTTGGGAAGATCCAAAAATGTTCGGATTTTTGATGGAGCTCCGGAAAATGGCAAAAGAATTATTGGCAAGGTTAGAGAGTCAAAACTTGAAGAAGAAAAGGCTAAGGGATTTAATATGCAAGTGTGTTATGATCAATTCCAAATAAATGGAATAATTTATAATATCTCCCTAAATATCGGGAGGGTATGTTATAAAGAGAAGTCATCCTTCCCTCGATTTAAATGGACCGAAGATCCATACGATTTTATTTAGTTGAGTTTAAAAAATTAAATGGCATGATGGCATGATGACATGATGCAATGCAAAAATAAAAGAGCAAGCACAAAAGAAACACACGGCGAAACTCGGAATAGCTGGAAGTCTTCTGAAGCATCGGTCTTGGGGCGTTACAATGAGCCAGGAGGTGATGAGTCGAGGTTTCGTCATTCCAAGGAGTCACATAGAACATATGGGAAGTGGCGGGCCGGGGGCGTGGTCATGTGGGCTACGACAGGTTTCGGGGAATCAAGGATTTAGGGGAGGGCCATGCGAGTTAGATCTTGACCGCACATGCCATAAGAGTTATCTTTATTTACCAATTCTTTCTGGGTATCCATTGGGTTACCCATGAATATAAATTCATATGCATGCCCCATCCATAGTTTTTTAACACAATACAGATAAGCACTCATATATACGCGCATACACTCACCTCTATGAAAGCACATACGCACATCCTACCCCTGTGAGCACTTTCGAGAGACTGGGCTAACATACCATCTTGAGATTTACGAAATCACCGTAGGCGCCTCGTCGTCGACGGGGACGTCTCTTCCCACTGAAAGTGCATCGCTAGAAATCCTGAAATAAATCTAGGAATAATGCGAACACCAGGACTTGAACCCCAATGGGCCGGGAATACCATTATCCCTCTAATCATCCAACCACAGATTATTGGTTCGCACCATCCATAGATTTTGAAGGTATGCGTAGGGGTACCCGATGTCTATGGGTAGGGTACATGCGGAAACCCAATATCGATGGACAAATTTGTTGTTCATAGATCAATCTACAATCTTTTTTTTGGATAACATTCTTTCTTTTTGAGTTGGGACAACATAGTATGATTTTGCATCGGATATTCAATTCGGTTTCCAGGTGCACCTACACCCAGTGAACAGTAAAATCAAGAAAAATGCTAAAAAATTCTGAAAAAAATTAGGTGAAAGATGTTCCAATGCATGATGTTCGTGTCAAATTGCAGCTTATTTGGACATATGAGGAGCTCATGGAGAAAAAAGATAAAACCGGTCAAAATAGTACATGACCAACAAACTTACTTAGAACCCTAAAATTTATCTTTTTTGCTCAGAACCACTGAAATGTCCAAACTCTCCGAAATTTGGTACGAACTTCACGCACATGAGCATCTAGCATCACAATTTTGTTTTGATTTTTTGAACTTATTTACTATTTTAAATGAATTTATTGTTCACATGATATGCAGATGCACCTGAGAGCCAAAACGTCGTGTCCGATTTCAGTGAAGGAGACGTACCCGTATACAACGAGGCGCATATGATGACTTCGTAAAATCTCAAGATAATATACCGGCTCAGTCTCTCGGAGATACTCATCGAGGTAGGGTATGCCTCTATGCGTTCATAGGGGTGAGTGTGTGCATGTTTATATGAGCGCTTACATCTGTCGGTGTTAAAAAAAAAAGCAGAGCAGTGGGACCAAGACGCAACGCAACGCAAAGTCAGAAGTCACCAACCGAAGACAACCATGCAAATACGGAAATACGCCGTCCGGTGAGGTCCATTCTAAAAAACACACACGAAAAAGCGCTCCTGGACGGGGAAGACGACCTGGTGCTCGTGTCTCCCTTCCCCGAGATCTACCAAAACCCGCGCCCCGTCAGTCCCGTTCCTCCTCCTCACCGTCCGGCGAGCCCCGAGCACACCAGATCACCCGCGTAGCTGGTGGCGCACCGTGGAACCGCGCGCCAGTTAAGGGTGGTGGTCCCAGGCGCTCGAGCCGGGGCGCGGGCGACGCGGAGACGATGCCGGTGGCGGCGTCGGCCATCTACTTCCTCAACCTCCGCGGGGACGTCCTCATCAACCGCCTATACCGCGATGATGTCGGGTGCGTGTTGCCGCTCCCCCACCTCCCCTCTCTGGCTCCCTGGGTTTTGAGTGGCAGATCTGAGGCCCCAGGATCGATTGATTCTGGTCGTAGCCTGTAGTGATGTAGATCGCTAGAAGGGTGGCAGGTGGCTTGTGAATTTTGATTCCTTTCGCTGAGTGACAAGTGAAATTCGACGGGGAGGAGTGCAGTTGACAGCCAGTCTTTGGTGGTTGGCTCGTTGCGCACTGCAATTTGCCCATTGCGCGCTTCAGTTTGCCCATTCTCTTGGTTGTGGCGTTCCTAACTGATTTGCATTTGGAATGCGTGTTCCATTCTCTGCCCTGAGGCTGTGGCGCCTACATGATTCCAGCATGGAGTAAAGAGATTGGTCACTGAACTCCACCTAGGATGGTTCAAAGGAGGTTATCCTCTAGTCATATATGATCATAGCAAGTCATCAACAATAAACAAGAAAATTCATACTAGTTTTATTTTTTTCCACATTTTGAACTTAGTTTTGATGAGTGAGGCACTTTGGACAAGAAAAGTTGCTCCATAGTAGTTCATTTCATCTTTTCCAATGGGCTTTGACAGTAGTTAGTATTCACATCCTTCTGTAGTCGAAATTTTACTTCTACTGCAGCATACGCGGCAAACCAGCTAACTTTGAAATAGTAACCGTCGGATTGAAATTAATTATTAATATTAACCCTCGCACCATAGATTTCCAAGAGGTCTTGGAAAGAACAGCAGAAGTTATTTAAACATCTCGTAATATTCCCAATGTTCAAAAAAGCGGAAAGCGTAAGCGAAGCGGAAGGCCACAGCTTAGAGCAATGGGCACTTAAGCGTTTTTTGAGATTGGCTAGATTTGACAGATTTTGAATAATATACACAGGAAAATAGGAAACATGGCACATGGGTAATTGAAATAGCATCTAAAATACAGTTCACACCATAGCAAATACACATCAGGTTCACACAGCAAGCAAAATAACAACTAAAATGCAGTTCTGTTCAAACAGACAGAACCTAATAGAGATCATGCGGCCAAATTTTGCCAGAATATGAAGGAGACAGTTCCTGAACAGAGCCTAATAATAAGATAATTGGCATATTGCCATTATTGCGCAAGCAGACAAGCAGAAGCAGTTCAAAATCAACCAAATTATGGCCAAATTAAAATAAACCCGCTTAATCTACCGCTTAGGGCAAAAGCGAAGCGTTTTGCCATCGCTCGGCGCTTGAGCGTCGCTTAAAAATGCTTTCTTGAACACCGAATATTCCCGCAAAATGCAATTTTTTTATATTTGTACTAGCAAAGTGCCTGTGCGTTGGAATGGATCTACAATCGGCAAATGCATGTTCTCAAGCTTGAAAAAATCACCCTGGTTTTGATATATATCACTAAAAATATGTTAGGTTTCACCCAAAATAGACTAAGGGTTTTTCTGAAATGTTGGAGCAGAGTGGCAAGGGTCTTGTTGCAGAATGCCACAGCTTACCTTGCATGCGTTAGACGCAGATCGAATGGTCAGAAATGACGGATGCAGACACACCATCATCACCAAATCATCACCAACTGGATCTTTTATAGGAGTAGAGATAATGGAATCAATACCATTAGAAATTATAAATATGAGTATGTTTTCATACATGCACGTTGATCGTAGAAACAAAACAAGACCATTCAATAAACCTGCAGCGATGTGCTGTAATCCTGTATGTGCTGAGCCTATTTCGACATGTAGGTCTTACACTAGTTTAATATTGAGCAAGTGAAATTCCATCTATATGATATATTGTCAATATCATAGTCATTGTTTATGAAGGACACTAAAACATGTAAACTACGACACCTACTGTTGAGTAATGCAAGCATTTTTTTTCAAGTCTGTTGATAACCGTAGGACATGGATGTAAATTTTAATGATGTTTGTTCCACCATGTCCTTTTCTTTCTTTCTTTTGCGCACATTTATTTATTACCACCTGGACAACTGTCTCATCATTCCAAAGCGATCTCAAGAGGCTACTTATGCCATTTCCTCTCATAGCCTTTCTCAGTTATCACTTCAATAGGAAACAATCCCGCGTATTCATTTTGCTTCTTTCACTTTCCATTCCCTGCTTATTTGGTTGCACATACCTTTACAATTAGTGACTAAACCCTATCATGTTCATGTACGGCTATGCAGGGGAAATATGGTTGATGCATTCAGGATGCACATCATGCAAACAAAAGAGCTTGGTACATGCCCTGTTCGACAAATAGGAGGCTGTTCCTTCCTTTACATGAGGATCAGTAATGTTTACATTGTGATCGTGGTTAGCAGCAATGCTAATGTTTCTTGTGCTTTCAAGTTTGTTGTGGAGGTATGAAGTTTCTGTTGTCTTATGAGCATTTCCAAATAAATTATATATAACCCACACAGACATTATGACCTTGATGAATATAATATAATCTAAAGAAGATAATTGATGTTTTTCTTTTTCACTAGAAATATTTGTCTATGATGTTTGTGTATTTGTCTATTCAGAGCAAAAGAATGTATTAGTTACTTAACAAGTCATATGATTTTCTGAAGTGTTTTGTCAAATTGTAAGATAATGTATCATCTCAGTCCGAGAGGTTTAAATGATCATGTCATCTAATAATGGTATCGACGTTTGGCTTTGTTTGGCGACTGGAATTTTCTATTGCAAAAAGTAACTGGTGATGGTACATCAGAGAATCACCAAACCCAACAGGGTACAAGCAGGTGGTACAAAAACTAGAAATTTTCAATGCCTAGATGGCGTGATGAACATGATGAACCATGTTCATCACTGCTGGGAATAGTTTGATAGGACTAAGTGAATAACAGAACCCTTTGTGCTCTATATGATTTCCTGAGGGCCTGTTTGGAAGAGAGGGATTGGGCTAGGAAGTAGTTTAATTTGTATGTTACGCCAAAGATGATTCAGTGATGAAACTACAGTTGCTAATTCTATGTAGAGATCCTACTCAATGAGCAATTTAACATGTCCTATCTCATTCGCCGTTATTTGTGCTGAAGATTATTTGAAATTATCAGGCAGTGGCCCTTTTCAAGTCCTACTTTGGTGGAACTTTTGATGAAGATGCTATCAGGAATAACTTTGTGTTAATATATGAACTTCTTGATGGTAAGGGCACATCTGATTTTGGACTTAGCTTGCTGCTTCAGTTCCCACCATGGATTCTTTTTTTGTTTGCAATACTGACTCTGTGCAACTGTGCAGAGATTATGGACTTCGGTTATCCTCAGAATCTCTCCCCTGAAATTTTGAAGTTATATATAACCCAGGAAGGCGTACGGTCGCCATTTTCCTCCAAGGTCAGAAATATATGAAAAATGTAGTCTGCTGTATTGGATTGCAAAAAATAATTATGTGTGTTCCTATTTATTTTCTAGGAAAGTAACTGAACCATATTTCCTTCTCTCTGTACTGATAGCCTTCGGATAAGCCTGTTCCAAATGCGACCCTGCAAGTTACCGGTGCTGTTGGTTGGAGAAGAGAGGGTCTGGTGTACAAGAAGAATGAGGTACTTGAATTAAATATGTAGGGAGGCTTCAGCTGTATTCGGAAAAAAAGCAGAGGACTAACATTTATAATGGTCCTAGTTTCCTATCAGTGCTTGGGCTACTAGCAATGCCATCATCCGCATACATTTTAAAATGGATCTCATTTCTAATACATATTTTACATGTACCAGCATTCCTGTTAAAGCAGTGGCCCATACTTCCCTCAGTTTTCGTTTCTTTGTTGTCATTAATGTCATGTCATTGTTTACCTCCATTTAGCAAGTGAAGTAACAGTAATAACTAACGAGTTTTCCTCGTATGTCAGGTTTTCTTGGACATTGTTGAGAGTGTAAACCTTCTTATGTCTTCTAAAGGTATTTCATGGACCATCAATTTTTTGTTATCTGGTCTGAGGTTCCGGTGTCTTTCCTGTTCAGCTATTTCATGCCCGTCGTGTATATTTCTTACATTTCTGCAGGGAGTGTTCTACGATGTGACGTGACAGGGAAGATTCTTATGAAGTGCTTCCTTTCTGGAATGCCTGATCTGAAGTTGGGACTAAATGACAAAATTGGACTTGAAAAGGAAGCCCAACTGAAGTCCAGGCCTTCAAAGAGGTATTGCTTTACTGAGTCTTGACACATGGTGACAAAGTGTGCACATAGATATAACTGTTTTGCCGGTTAACATTGTTTACTGGCTACCCAACTTTTGTTCCTTTTCGTAAATGATCTCCTGATTGTTTGTGTTCTCTCCCTCTACAGTGGGAAGACCATAGAACTCGATGATGTCACTTTCCACCAGTGCGTCAACCTAACAAGATTTAACTCAGAAAAAACAGTCAGCTTTGTGCCACCAGATGGTGAATTCGAATTGATGAAGTAATTTTTAGATCCCTATTTATTCTTGCAATTATGAGTACATTTTACAAATGATAGTTTCTTCGCTAGCTGGATTTTGACGGACATATTTGTTCTAGATATCGAATCACGGAGGGTGTAAATCTTCCATTCCGTGTTCTGCCCACAATTAAGGAGTTGGGCCGAACACGCATGGAGATTAATGTGAAAGTAAGCAAATATATCTACTCGGTTACGTCATAAACGTGTACATGTTTGCTGACATGGTGAATCTTTTGTTACGCAGGTTAAGAGTGTTTTTGGTGCTAAGATGTTTGCACTTGGTGTTGTGGTTAAAGTTCCAGTTCCAAAGCAGACAGCGAAGACGAGTTTCCAAACAACATCTGGCAAAGCCAAATATAATGCTTCGATTGATTCCCTGGTGTGGAAGTAAGTGCAATCTTTTTGTCTAATATTTGCACTATACCAAAGGCAGTATGTGGGTCGTATTTTAATGGGTTTGATGGTGTGAATTGTTCAGAATGGTGTAAACAAAATTTCCCTAAGTTATGCCCTGCCTAGCTGTGAGTTGTTCAGAATGGTGTAAACAAAATTTCCCTAAATTATGCCCTGCCTAGCTATTTGCAATTTAAAAGTATGTCCTGTTAGTGCATGTACTGGGAGTTCTTTTTCGTGCTGAGCTACCTCTTGCAGTTATTGCACATTGACCAGCATGAACTCATAAATCATAATGCACATTTCAAACCATAGGATCAGGAAATTTCCTGGACAGACCGAGGCAACGATGAGTGCAGAAGTTGAACTGATCTCTACAATGGGGGAAAAGAAGTTAGCGAACAGGCCACCGATTCAGATGGAATTCCAGGTTACATTTAATCTCGTTAAGAATCTTATTGTTTCCTTGGCAAGATGGCTATGAGCTTTCCTCTACTCCATTTTATTTATCTGTTCTGCAATTTATAACTGAGAATGACAATGTTAGCAAAGAATCCCAGTATCTCATTGTTTATGAACAAAATTTGAGCATGTACAATATAAATTGATACTTAAATAATTGGTTGACCTTGGAGTATTTTTGTTCAAGGAGCCTTCATGCATATAATGTGCTATATGCCCCCCATGTTGTCTGACTGTTTCCTGGCTTCCTGCACTCTATCCTTTATATTCACTATGGTATCTCTTTCCTGCAGGTTCCGATGTTCACTGCTTCTGGTTTACGTGTTCGGTTCCTCAAGGTATGTGGAGCAAGTACAATATGAAATATTGAAAATGTTTGGTACTAAAACCATCTCTTGATGCATTTTCAGGTGTGGGAGAAGAGTGGCTACAACACCGTTGAGTGGGTTCGCTACATCACAAGGGCAGGATCATATGAAATCAGGTGTTAGTGACCAAGAAAGATGGCGTGGCCTCATTATTTCGTGGATTTGCGGAGCTCATTTTGTACTCATCATGATTGATCAGAAGGCACGTAAATTATGACCCAGTTTGCTGCAAGTTTGTACTTCAGCAGAGGGCAGATCAGAGCAGGCAGTTTTCCGATGTTCCTTATTTTCATGTTGACATGGGATATGTATTCTCCCCCCGTGTCCTGTTTGTCATAGGGCATATTTTTATTGTATATTTGGAAGTAGCATTCGTTCTCGTTGATCAATACACCCCCTTGCCAGTTCGTGCTGTTTTCTCCTTGAATGGGTGTCAAATCGCTTGCAAAACGGTGTATAAATATATGATGATAATGTTGTTGGCTTGCTGTGCCTGTGTTTGATGTAAAGTGGCTATGCCATTCCATCGTTGAGAATTTGTTGCAAGGCCTGTGTGAATGCTGATTGATGTCCAAGCATATGTGGTGATTGGCGAAGGATTCCCTCAGTTCAAAAATACTAAATCTGTACCAAAATATAAGGTGTTTTTGTAAGCTAAACTAGCCTACAAAAATGTCCTACATTTTGACACGGGGCAATAAGTTGTAGGATTTTCTAAAAATACTACTACTGCTACTAGTACTACTGAATTTGTTTTAAATATTACTCCCTCCTTTTTCAAAATCACGTCTATAGATTTGTCTTAAAAATTATTTACAGAATGTCTTAAAAGACAGTATCGATATTTAAAATGTCAATTATTATGTACTGGAAGGAGTTTCGCAACTCCAGCTAAAGGCCTCTTTGATTCACAGAATTCCAAAAACGCAGTAGTAGGAAAACATCGAGTTGTAATGTTACTTTGACCATCTGGATCCTATACAATTTGGTTTGTTTTATTGCACCACATACAAACCAATTTGGTTTGTTTGATGCACCACATACAAACCAAAGGACTCTTTTCAAGAGGTTTCTAAAATTCGTAAGGAATATAGTACAAAGAAATCAGTAAAAAAACACCAACGAGTATATGATAAACTAGCTAGTGTGAGTTGTGGTTCCATCCATAGGCATACTTGTTCCGATGCAATCAACATGCCTCTAAGTCGAGCGAGATGCTATGTGTGGTCGGCGGATAATCCGCCGGTGAACACGGTACATGACATGTAAATCAATGTGCTGAGATCAATGCCGTTGGTTTTTCTTTTTGCCATCATTGGTAATGGTGACATGCGCCACATGTCGATTAGCCAGCTTACCGCAGGGTAGTTTTGTCATTAGTTTTAAAGGGAGTTATTTCTTCTTTGCCCTAGCATGGAGGGGTAAATATGTTTAAAAATCAAACCGATAACTTAATATATGCTCTTTAAAGTTATTGTAAAATATATGTTAGTGAGGGCATTGGTATTACTTGAAAGAAGAAAGACAAAACAAAACCAATGTGACCACGCAAAATAATAAGAAAGGAACAAACAAAAAGTTCACACACACAATAGTGAAATAGCACATATTGAAAACGTGCACACAACTTTTACTCTTTTGTAATACGCAAGAACAAGTGTGAACACTTGTAACTTTAATAACTATTATTATTTAAGTAAATCAAATACAAAAATGAATTTTATTTTATGTTCCTAACACAAAACTAAGCAGTGTCACAAATTCATTTTAGTATTGTAGTTTTTGAAAGTTTAGTTTTCCCTACAAATCCAGTCAACCTTTTCAACATTTGACTTCAAACAAAAAGTATACATTTATATTGCATGTTTTTAAACACGGAGGGAGTAGTATACTTTTCTAAAATGTAAGTTGTAAAAGTACTTTCACTTTAAGAGGAGACTTCACAAACCAAATATGTTTAATAGGACAGGCAATCTTTCTAGCTTTTAAATCAGTACACATTGGAGTGTGGGGAGCCCACTATTTAAAAAGAAGAATGTGATATTTAAATGTTTTATGCGAATGCAAATGGATGTTCCCTATGTACCTTCAAATTTCCTTAAATAATATGATAGATTATGCGCTACACACAAGGAAAAAACCCGGACCAAAAACAACAATATACAAGCCCATTTTGGTTCATCTATTTGTCCTTTTTGTATATGTTGCGCATAAATATGCATGTTGATGAAAATCCGTACACACATACGACACACCTATACATACGCATACACAAACTTCTAGATTTTTTTGAGTTATAATATATGTTTTTGAAACAACCAAAGCGCATTTTCACATACATTGATTGAACATAAAAAACGCGGGAACAAGTTCATTTGCACATGTCCTTCTATATGATAACCCTACTTGGAGAGAGAGAGGGAGGGAGGGGGGGAGGATAACACAACTCTATTCCAAATATGAGACTGTCCCACCATCCTTGCCAGCGAGGCCACATGTCCCCCTCTTCTCATGTTCTTCTTCGTGGCAGTGGTCTATTTCTTGGGTCATTGTTGCATGTGTCTTCTCATTTGGATGTTGCGTCAACAACTTTTTCCTAACTTTGATGGTGTTTTGGAGGTCCGGAGGTGACATCGAGCTTGGCTCACAACGCCCCGCCAACGAGAGTGTAGGAAGAAGACATGTTGATTTTTCCAACGATCTTGTGAGTATTTTTTTTATTCTTTAAAGATGATCCTACAAGCGTTGGTTAACTTCTAATATATGTCATTTCTCCTTTTATAAAAGAGATAAGTGCATTTTTCGTCCCCCCAACTTATCGCCAAGTGTAGCTTTCGTCCCTAAACTTTTTTTGGGTACAACTGTTGTCCCTCAATTCTTAATACCAGATATAGTTAGTCCCTTGCAGCGGTATTCAACGGTCTAACACGGTTTTGACCTTATGTGATATGGTTTTGGCCACATCGTCACTGTAAGGTGGCATAGAGTCGCATGTCATTGAGAGAACTCTCTCTCTCTCTCTCTCTCATGTGTCACCGAACTGTTGACGCTGCTCCGCTTTAAATATCCATTGTGTGATGCAGAGAGAAAGGCTGTGATGCTACTCTAGGAGGTCGGTGATGGGAGAAGCTCCTCCCGCTTTAGATGGTCAACATGATAGTTGGGGTAGGATAGGACAATAGGTGGCAGATCTGATATAAAGACACGGGGGAGAGAAAGGAGCACAATTCGTCGTGGTCCAATCCCAAACCCTTGGGGCATTCCCCTTACAATGATGATGTGATCAAAACCGTGCCATAAAAAGTCAAAACCGGATTTGAGCAAGGAATACTCATGTTAGGGACTAATTCTTCATGATATTAGGAGTCGAGGGAGAAAAGTTGCACCAAGATGTGGTCAAAACAATGACACATAAGTCAAAACAGGTTCGACCGAGGAATACCACTATAAGGGACTAAACATACCCAACAGAGTTTTTTTTACACAGTACAGACGCAAGCGGTTATGCATACACGCATGCACTCACCCGTATGAACACATACACACACCCCCTACCCCTATGAGCATCTCCGAGAGACCGACGACATATCATCTTGAGATTTACGAAGTCACCATAGGCGTCTCGTCGTCGACGGGAACGTCTCCTCCCACTGAAAACGCATCGTCGGAATCCTGAAATTAATTCAGGAATAATGCGAGCACCAGAACCATGATGGGCTGGGGATACCACAGTCTCTCTAACCATCCAACCACAAATTGGTTCACACATACCTAATAGAGTTGAGGGACGAAGGTTACGCCAAAGAAAAATTCAGGATGAAAGCCACACTTTACTATTAGCTGAGGGATGCTCCTAAAAAAGGATTAGTTGAGGGACGAAAATGCACTGTACTCTTTATAAAATGATAAGGTGTTTTCTACATGAAAATGAGGAGTGTTGAATGAAAAGAGAAGAGAAGAATTTTTTTTAAAAAAAAGAGGGGAAAAAAAGAGAAGAGAAACTGAAGAACCGCCCCGCAAAAAAGAAAGAAAGAAAGAAACTGAAGAACCGCAGCGGCTACGGCACGCATCTCCGTGCCGTCGTCGACACGGACACATCATATGCGCACATCGTACGTACATCCAGAGTTGCTCAAACACAGAGAGTTCCTCGACCTCGACTGGACTGCCTTCGCTGTTGACCCAATCCGCCGCCGCGTCTAAGATGGCATCTCCGGCGCCGCCGCTCAAGGACGCCGTCGGAGTCCTGGACCGCGACCCCTTCGTCGCCCTCCTCTCCAAGCTCATCGGCGAGTCCCAGCGCCTGCAGAACGACCCGCCGGCCCTCGTCCCGCAGGAGGACCTCGTGGCGCAGCACGTCGTCGACGCGCTTCGCCCGGTGTCGACGGACACCGGTGGCGGCCCGCTCGTCGTGCGGAAGGTGAGCTACACAGACGGCCGGAGCAACGTCATCGTCGAGTACCCCGGCACCGTCCCCGGCCGCGTCGTCTCCTTCGTCGGCATGCACATGGACGTCGTTCCGGCCAACCCTAGCGAATGGGTGAGTTCCTAGCAGATTTCGTTTTGATGCGTGAGTGCTGATTTCGGTGCTTAGGGTTCCTGGACGAAGGATTCGAGGGTTTGCTTGATTTGGGGGTCTTTCTAGCTTGTCGCCCAAGCTGCACCCATCCCTGATCTGTTAGTGGCTTCTGGATTGTTCTACCTTGGAAGTTGGAATAGATGCATGTTTCGGTGCAGTGCTGGCTTGTGGAGTGTTGTGATTCAAGTTAGTACTTCAGTGGCTTAATTGCTGTATCTACTGTTAAAGTTTACCTTTCATCACTGGTGCTGTTTGATTTCGCTCATTTTATTTCTGTCGCATCATAAATTGACTATTAGTGATTACTAACAAGTTGTACCTCAAAATTTACTCTTGGTGAGCTCCTCAAATTTCTGTTACTCTTGTTGGTTACAATCATTAATCAGTGGACTGGGATCTTCTACTCCTGCAGGACTTTGATCCCTTCTCACTAACCTTCGAAGGTAATGACAAGGAAAAGCTTAGGGGCCGTGGGACGACCGACTGCCTTGGTCATGTGGCGCTTGTGACTCAGCTCATGCGGCGGCTTGGTGAGGTGAAACCACCATTGAAGCATTCTGTCATTGCGGTGTTCATTGCCAATGAAGAGAATTCATCGGTCACTGGCATTGGTGTTGATGGACTTGTCAAGGATGGTT